CGGCGGTGGGCGGGGCTAGAGCCCGGGAAGGGCAGGGCCCTGAGGGGGGCGGGGCGACAGCCGGGAACTCAGAGGCCATTGGATGTGAGACGTGGGTGGAACTAGGGAGGAGGGGCGGAGTTTAGACTCCCGGATCTGGGGGGTGGAGCTAATAGGAAGAGGGTGGGGCTGTTGCTAGGGCAGGATGGGGCAGTGTTCCGTTTTCTTGTGCATGAGGTCGCTATGGGTCGGAACTGGACGACTGCTAACTGCAACGAACATTGCCAGGGGGAGGAGTCAAGTGTCAGCCTATGGCAGGAGGAGCCAATGAAAGAGTAGGCTTCGAGAGGTATTGAGTAGAAGGAGCCAGTAGGAAGACATGCTGGCTTGGAGACAGCGCTCCACACGGTGCGCATTAGAGCCCCTCGGGGAGCGTTCACTAACTACAGCGGCTCCACACTGAGAGAGGCGGATGTTCTGAGCTTGGAAGTGAGTGGCACCCTAGATTCTTGGCAACGAATCTCCAGGTGATTCCCACAGCATCCTTGTTTCAGGATCACTGCTTGGCTTGCTGCGGTGGGGCTGGGTCAGAGTGGTGATGCTGTGACCATGGAGCTGAAGGAAAGACCCTGGAATTGTCTGACCTCCATCCTGCTTCTGTTGAAGTGACTGATCCTGTTCTTTTCACAGCCCTTCATCGACTGCCAGGACGGTGGGAGTTGAACCCCAGGCCCACAAGGCCAGATGGGCCTCAGGCTACTTCCTCCAGCTTGCTGGTCCCAGTGCCCAGCCTTGATAGGTGAGCCACTGCCCTTCCCACCCCTTCCCTGGCCTCCTCCTGCCCCTGTTCCAGGCCAAATTTGACAATCTCTCTTGCGCCTCTCTAGCTCAGGCTCCTGTGGTGCAGACCCAAACACAAGCAAGGGCCCAAGGACCCATGGATGGAAAGATGCCTTCCAGTGGAAGTCTGCTCAAGCCTCCCCGAACACCCTATGGAATGCCTTATCATGGGTAAGGCTTCTTCAGCCCTGCCCTTGACCTCCAGAGTAGACAAGAATGCTTCTGCTTGGAAGTATGGCCTAGCTAAGCAGTTCTCATAACATCTTGGGGAGGAGTTGCTTTCCTGTTGGGTGAGTCCACACTGAGTCTTTTTGGGAAGTGGACCTGGATCCCAGGGGCACTGAAACCTCCCCTCAGCTCTCTCACTGCCCGTTGAAAGAACCTGTGATTGTGTGGTTCCCACTGCTGGGGACAGTTGTCCTTGCTCTTTACCAGACCCCCTCTTCCTTTCGGCTTTAGCCCACACATTCCAACCTTGACCCGCACATTCCTCATATGCCCTGGACAAGCCAGAGCGTCTGTCTCTTTGACATTAAGCATAATGTGTAATTATTGTGTTTCTTTTCTGTGTACAGTGAACCCTCGTTTATCGCGGTTAATCGGTTCTAGACCCTACCGTGATAAGTGAAATTCTGCGAAGTAGGATTCCTTATTTGTAAATCAAATATTTTCGTAGTTAGAGCATAGAGGACATGAAAAAACACCCTTTAGTCACCATTACACTCGTATTACCCAATTTATTAAACGAAAAAGGGAAAATACAGTAAAACATTTTGGACGTTACAATTATCATTTATTTATTATATTATTTATGGCATCTAGTTTACAGTATTACATATTTCACATACAGTATTATTATACATAGTTCTTACAAATACTGTAATCAATAGCCTATGAAATGACTTAAGGGATGTACTCTACAGGTGGGTCGCCGTCTTTTTCCTCTGAAGGAGCGGGTGTAGGCAGTGGGTGCTGTTACACAAAAACCACGATAGAGTGAAGCCACGGAAGTCGAAGCGCAAAGTGCCGAGGGTTCACTGTACTTGGCTTTTGTCTTCTCATAAAATCCCTCAGGCCTGAGACTGTATCTTGGCTTGATCGCTATTGTACACACAATGCTCGCTGCAACAGATACGTTTTTGGGCACACACAGGATGAGGCTGTCAGTAGGATAAAGACTAGCTCGTGCTTTTTGCAGAGCTACCAGAGAAGAGGCACCTTCTGTGTTAGCAAGCCTGCACTGGAGAGAGAGAGAGAGAGAATGTGTGTGGTGGGTTGGGGAGGAGGGCAGGAGAGGAGGGGATGCGGTAGACTAGAGAAAAAGATTGAACCTGGTGGGTAAGTCTGCCTTCTTCCTGCATTTGTGCCTAAACCCTGGCTAACTACACTGCCTTTTTGTGTCTGCTTAGACCAGCAGTTCTCAACCTGTAGGTCGTGACCCCTTTGGGGGTCGAAGGACCTTTTTACAGGGACCACCTGATTCATAACAGTAGCAAAATTACAGTTGTGAAGTAGCTACAAAAATAATTTTATGGTTGGGGAGGTCACCACACATGAGGAACTGTATTAAAGGGTCACGGCATTAGGAAAGTTGAGAACCACTGGCTTACACCATGGCTTCCCAAATGTATTTGGCCTGCCTACCTCCTTTTCAGGGGCAAAAAAAATTGCCCCCTGGCAATTAAAAACCTGTACTACAGCCCATGATCCGGGATAAAGTGTAGGGGAAACCCTGGCTTAGTCTTCATTTATTCAGTTTCTCTTGCATTCATTCACCGGGCATTTATTAAACTCCCACTTTCTCCTAATAGGGGCTCCGGTGGGACAGCAGTTTGAGCTCACCAGTCGGTGTGTGGGAGGAAAAGGAGGCCTCCCGCTCCCATAAAGATGTATTTATGGCCTCCGCAAACCACAGCGCAGTTCTACTCAGTCCTACAGGGGGGCCGTGATTGTCGTTGACTCGATGTTTGGTATTATGGGTTTGGTTTATCTTAGGAGCCCTGGTGCTACACTAGTCAAGTGCTCATCTGATAGCTAGAAGCTTGGTGGTTTGAATCCACCTCGAAGTTCGGCAGGAGAAAGGTTTGGTGATCTGTTCCTGTAAAGATTAAAAACGCAAAACCAAACTCACCACCATCAAGTCACTTCTGATTCACAGCGTAGCGCCCAGTAGGACGCCGGAAAACTACCTACCCAATAGGACACAGGAAAACTGTGGGTTTCCGAGGCTGCGACGCTCTCTGAACAGAAAGCTCCATCATTCTCCCCAGGAGCAGCTGGTGGTTTTGAACTGTTGGCCTTTTGGTTAGCAGCCCAACTTGGAACCCCTACACCACCAGGGTTGTAGCCTAGGGAATCCTATGGGGAAGTCCTACTCTGTCACAGGGGGTCACTATGAGTCAAAAATTGATTGGATAGCAACGAACCACAACCAAAATCTTACTTCACTCTGCAGGGCACTGAGACAAAATAGACAGGGGTTCTGCCCACATGGTGTTTAGAGACCAAGAGGAGAGCCAGACCCTTGAGGAATAACTGTAGAGATGACCATGTACATACGTGCCAGTGTGGTCAGGGCTCCAGAGGATAAGTTCAAGTCCTGTCAGCATGGTGGGGGAGTCGCCCTAGCCAGGAATTAGGAAAAGCTTCTCTTCTCAAGAAAGGGATATTTGAGCTGCGAGCCAGATACAAGTCTAAGGGAGTGGACTTCCGACTGTGCCCCCATGCACTGTCTTCCCCAGGGCACCCTGGCTGTGCTGGCCCTGCAGCTGGCGAGGCAGATCCACTTCCAGGTATCCCTGCCAGGAGCACCTCAGCGAGTGGAGTCCTGCTCTTGGCACCGTCCCCTGGATCGCTTCCTGTCATCTGTCTTGTGGCACCCGAACTCCGGTGAGTTCTCAGTCCTGGGGTCAGGAGGGCTGGGCTGGGAGGAAACCTCTGTGGACACACCTCAGGAAAAGAGCCATGAGCAGCTCCTTGCCTTTACTCTCCAAGTCAGAGGAAGGGGAACGTGGAGAAGCCCTGTCCACCCAGGGTGTGGCCACACCTGCCCTCGGTGCCTCTCCATGCCCTTCCACAGGGACCCCAGCTACTCTAGATCCCAGTGTGACTTCCTGCCAACCTCTTACCCATCTGGGTCATTCTCTGCTCAGTCATTCATTAACAAATGAATAGTTATTGAGTACCTACTATGTGCCATGGGTCAGAGATGAGCTAGCCTAGCTCTGGAGTCAGATTACTAGGATTCAAGCCTCAATGTGGCTGCATCCTCATGCCCTTGGTACAACTCTGCAACTTCCTGGTGCCTCGTGGCCTCATCTATAAAACAAGCTAACCTGAGCACTCACCACAGGGGAGTCCTGGTGGCGTAGTGGGTATGAGCTGGGCTGCGATCCGCAAGGTCAGCAGTTTGAGACAACCAGCCACTCCGTGGGAGGGCGATGGGGTTTTCTATGTCTATAAAGAGTGACGGTGCTGGGAACCCACAGGGGCCATTCTACCCTGTCCTCCAGGGTCAGTATGAGTCGACACCAACTCCAGGGCAGTGAGTGAGGACTCAGCACTTGGGGCTCTTGGGAGGACTAAGTACGTGGCACCAGCTCACTGTCATGCCCGCACCTGGTCATTGACTCAGTGGGTTTCTGGTCTTCTCATGCTTGTTAGGAGGGTGATCCTTATCAGCACTGCCATCAAAAAAAAAGTGCTGAGTGCTGGCGCTACCATAATAAATGAGGCAAACATCTTATTCACTCCTGGCCACTAGAATTCAAAGCAGAGGACCAATAAAGGACATTTGTGTTGAGGATTGGCGATTAGTCTACAAGTGGGTCTAGACCACTGTGGATGGGAGCCAGCCAAGGAATTAGAGGAGGAGGAATATGAACGTTGTGTCACATTTTTCTAACAAAGTCCTCTGTAGGACTCGGTCTGCCCCTTCCTGATCAGTCTTGCTGGCTCTTTCCAGCAGTGCGGAGGCACATCCTGCCCTACCCCGAGGGCCCAGCCCCCAGGCACTCCAGCCACAGGGACCGCAGGCTGGGCCAGGAAGGGCCCTCAGCTCAGCCCAGCAGGCTCTCCTCACACAGCTCCCTGAGGGCAGCCGGTGCCCAGGATGCCTCTGAAGAAGGTGAGCCCCTAAAGAATCATCAGAGAGGGGTAGAAGGGAAGAATTGGGCAAATAGACCCTTATAACTACATAGTTGCAGATAAAGGGGCTGCCATTCCTGTGTGACCCCTTTTTCTGAAGCCATACATCTGTTTGACTCTTGGCAGTGAGGCTGGGTGGTGGGGCTGGGTGGGCTGGGGGAAGGGAAAACTAAGCCACTTTGTTCATTTGCCCTGCTGGGTGGTGGGCATTCTCCTTGCAGATCCCAGTGGATTTGGGTTCCCGCCTGCCAGCAGTCACTTTGAGTCCAAGGCAAAGCCAGCCCAGCCACAGACAACTGGGGACAAGCAGGTATTATCCAGATTTGGCCACGTGGATGCCCATAACCGTTCCCTGGCAGATGGCAATTCTGTGAATCCTCCCATAATGAGTCTTCGTCTTTTTTTCTCAGGAGTGTGATAAATCAAAAGCTCTCTCCCTCGAGGAGTCAGTGGCTTCCATTCAGCAGCTCTTCCAGCTCAGTGTTGCTATTGCCTTCAACTTCCTGGGTAAGGACGGGGACCAAGCCGCAAGGCAGATGGGTGGGGGACTGGGAAGAATATGGGGTACATTCAGTAGAATCCAGGAGGGCAGTGGGTTAAACAAGAGAGTATATTCTTTCCCAGGTAGGTAGATCACTTTCATTCTTGCTTGGCCATTCTTAGACTGGCCCATCTCAGCGTCAAGTTTGGCTATTCTTGTTCCTGGCCTTCTGTCCATATTCCAGTTACCTGGGAGGGGAAGGTGGGGAAAAAACCGAAAGACTACGCCTTCCCTTTAATGTTTATGGCTCCCTTTAAGGACTCATGGTGGCATAGTGGGCTATGTGTGAGCTGCTGACCACAAGGTTAGCAGTTCCAACCTGCCAGCTGCTCCGCCGAAGAAAGATGAGGCTGCCTATTGCAAAGACTGACAGCTTCAGAATCCCACTGGGGCAGTTCTACTCTGTCCTATAGAGTCACCATGAGTCAGCATCGACTCAGTAGCAGTGAATTTTTGTGTGTGTGCATATCCTTTAAGGATATGACCTAGAAGTTGCACCAATCACTGCAGGCATACCCAGTTGCAAAGAAGCCTGGGAAATGTAGTCCTTAACTAACTGATTATGTTCTTATCTGAAAATTTTGCTATGTTAAACCCAAACTCAATGTCATCAAGTCGATTCTAACTCATAGTAACCCTGTAGGACAGAGTAGAATTGCCCTGATGGGTTTCTGAGACTGTAGTTCTTTAGAAGAGTAGAAAGCCTCGTCTTTCGCCTGCAGAGAAGCTGGTGGTTTTGAGCCACTGACTTTGTGGTTAGCAGTCCAGTGTAGGAAGGGGAAACTACATCTTGGAAGATAACTAGCATTCTCCGCCTAAGGGAAGATGGACTCCTGAGATTTGGAGAAGGAACTTTGGTGGCTCAATGGGTTCATGATTGGGCTGTCATATGCAAGGTCAACAGTTCAAACCCACCAGCTGCTGCTCTGGAGAAAGAAGCATATAAAGATTTATAGTCTCAAAAACCTCATGGAGCAGTTTTGTGTCCTAGAGGGTCTCTCTGAATGGGTTTGGTTTGAGATTGGGAGCAGGCCAAATAGGACATCTCACCCACATATTGAAGGAGCCCTGGGGTCACAATTGTTAAGTCCTTGTTGCTAATTGAAAGGTTGGTGGTTTGAATGCATTCAGCCTCTCCTCGGGAGCACTCCCTGGGCCTCAGCGTCTGTGAAGCGTAAAGCTGAGGAAACCCTATGGGGCAGGTCTGCTGCATCACAAGGTGTCACTGTCGGCCAGAATCAACTCTAAAGCACCTAAGGACAGCAATGGTGACAGCCCATATCTGGATATTTCACAGCCCCACCACCATTTGTCCTGCCTTGGCTTGAGTTTCAGTTGTACTGTGTAGACCCAGACTCCAAGGAGCATCTAGTGGGGGGTACTGGGCAGGTAGCTAAGAAGTTAGAATTCATTCCAAATACACGTACCCAGCATTTTCCTTTTGTCAGGTCAAACCTCAGGGGCTGGGGATACAGTGGTTCATTAGACAAAGCCTTTGCTTTCAAGGAGCTGACATTTGTATTGGAGGAAGGGAAAATAATAAATTGGCAAACAAATGAAAAGGAATTTCACATGCGTGGAAGACCTGGCCAGCCCCTCCCATGAATATTACTGTCTAGAAGACTCTGGGTCAATTCTGCGTTGGCACATGGGGTTGCTACCAATCGAAATGGACTCAGTGGTATGTAATCACCCCGCCACCACCTTTGGAGAAAACAGTGCTGTGTTAGTCCAAGTTGACTAGAGAAACAAATCCAGAGACACTCGTGTGTGTATGAGAGAGCTGTCTATCAAAGAGCAGTTGTAGATTGAGAAACCTCCCAGCCCAGTCAGATCAAGTCCATACGTCCAATATTAGCCCATACGTTCAATACTAGTTCACAGATTCCGCTTTAGACTCATGCAGCCATGCAATAATGCCGAATGCAGGAAGATCACAAGCCAGTGGGTACAAAGTCTTGTAGCTCCAGTGGCAGTGGAAGCATCTCAGTGCTGGCGTGGGTCTCCATGTGGCTCCTCCAGCTCCAGGGCTCTGGCTCCATTAGCATAGCTCCATGTGGCTTGTCATCAGGAATACGAAGCAGAGAATGTGGGTCGGCCTCCAGGGAGCTATTTATCTCTTTGCGCCTCCAAATGAGGTCCTCAAGCTGCAACCTGATTGACAGGCTAAACTCCACCCCTTCATTCTTAATAGTCTCAAATTGACACCAGATTATTTAACTACCACAGGTGCTTAAAAGGTATATCAGGTCCCTCTGTATTGTTGCTTGAAACTGCGTGTGAAACTATATCTCAAAATAAAAAATTGGACTTAAAAATTTGGGTGGGGGGCTGATGTTATGGAAAAAATGAAACAGATTTCTGTATTAGTGGCTGCAGCAATGAACAAGTTTTGATTTAGACGGCCTCACCGAAGATCCTTGTGCTAAATTCCAGCTGACATAAAGGAGCCAGGCTTGGTGACTGTCTGGAGAAAGAACTAGCCAAGCATAGCGAAGAACAAGCCCAAAGGCTTGATTTGAGTTTTGCTGCTTAAGGTACAAAATAAAGGTGAGCGTGGTTGGAGCTTCGAGATCACCAGATGGAAAGGAGGTCACAGAAGTAGGCAGGGGGACGGAGCAGGTGAGACCTTTCAACCAAGGTGAAGAGGGTGGATTTCCTAATTGAGATAGGCCGTTGGAGGTCTTTAAGCTGGAGCAGGGAGAGGGGTCTGATTCATTTTTGTTTTTTCTAAAATCTGTCTGACTACTTACTCTGTGGACAGTAGAGACGCCAGAGGGAATCAAGGAGACTGGGTGGGAGCTGGTACTGAGGACTCAGCAAAGCACAGTGCTGGTTCAGCTTGGTGGGAGGCAGAGGAAACTTAGAAGAGTGGATGGGGCAACGCCGATTGATGAAGCCCGTGTGAGGAATGGCATGGAAGCCAGGTAGGGCCCTGTCAGACCCTGGCCTGTCAGACCCGGCCAGCAAGTCTTCTATCAGCAGGGTGGGGATTTCATGTTCGTCTGGCTGAATTGAACCTGGCTTCTACCTCATTGACTCTTCGTGATGTTGAGGGGCAGACAGTCCCTTCTGAGAATCTCCTTGCCCATTCCTGCATTCGTATATTCATTTATTCCGCAAGTGCTAGGCACCGTGGCAGAACACAAAGGGAGCATAAGCCATCATCATATTTTGCATTTGCATAGAGCTTTCACCCTATGCAAAGTTATTTCTTCTACAGTCTTTTTCTGCTTCTACCTCCAGGATTTTACAGTCTAATTGAGGAGACAAGGCTTGTACTCTCTCTGTTTTAATTATGATTGGGTGAAAGTCTTCAGAGCAAATTGGTTTTCCATGGGCTTGTACTCTTGAAGCAGTCTAGGTCACAGAATAAGCCGTGGTATATTAAGTAGGCGCTTGAAGAGCATTTAAAGCCTGAGTGTGGTCCGAAAGCTCCTGGGCAGAAGCGGGTGTAGACGGCCCGATGGTGAAGGCGGACAGAGCTACCCAGGCAGGAGAAACCGCTGGAACAAAGGCTTAGCGTGATGCTGTCGGCCTGCGTTTTCCTGATTTTCCTTTGGGTTTGGGCAAGAAAAAAGAGCATGGACTTTGGGGCTAGATGTACCTGAGTTCGGGTCTCAGCCCTCTTGGATTGCCTCTCTCAGGTTTCTCCTCTTAAAGCGAGGTTAGCGACCCTCCTCCGTGCCATAAGGTTCATTGGTGGTAATCAGCCCAAAGCCACTCTGAGTAACATAAGCTCCAGGGACCCAGGGGGCTATGACAATGAGGGGGCTTTAGAAAGTTCATGGACTTATAACATAAGAGAATTTCCCACAACCCCTCCACATAGGCCCTAGATAGGGTCTTTACCAGAGGGCTGCTGTCAGAGTAAACTACACAAACCGTTTTCTGCCATTGCCCGACAGACTCACCTTCCTGGGGAGGAGAGTCTCCTTGGTCAGGAAGAGGGCAGGTATGCCAATGGACAGCCCTAGGGCAGGCCATCCCCCAAGGGACGAAGAGGAGGAGGGGTGGATCCCCAGAGGGCGGACCCACTGATGTCTGCGGCTCACCAGTGAATCCGCAAGAGGGGCCATGATGGCCGATTTGGGTTTGGGTTGTTCCCTCTGTGGACTAACAGACTCAGAGGCTAGACATGCAAGCCAAGCGCCCAGCACAGAAAGGGAAGGCCGCAGCCTGGGAGCAGGCGAGGAGTCTGTGGACCTTGGGCTGGGCCTGTGGGGAGTGTGCAGAGGGCACTGGAAACGTTTGTGGCCTGTGCTGTCTTACAGGGACAGAGAGCATGAGGAACGGGGACTACCCAACAGCCTTCTCTTACTTCCAAAAAGCGGCCGGCCGTGGCTACAGCAAAGCACAGTACAACACGGGCTTGTGTCACGAGTATGGCAGAGGCACACCCCGAGACCTCAGCAAGGTACCGCACCCCCTCCAGGCTGCCTACAGTGAGCACCCATGGGTTGGCCAGGGAATGCCTGCAAAGTAAGAGACTGTGAACTTCTAGGCAAGGGAACTTCCCTTCCTGGCTTACAGCTAGAACCTCAGCATCCAGAAACGCACCTTGATGAGTTGGTCCTTAAAAGAGCTATAGGGTAAGCACAAAGAGGTGTTAGACGCAGTGGTTCTCAACCTGTGGGTTGCCACCCCTTTTGGGGTCAAATGACTCTTTCACAGGGGTCGCCCAATTCATAGCTGTAGCAAAATGACAGTGATGAAGTAGCAACAAAAATAATGTTATGGTTGGGGCCGTCACCACAACACGAGGAACTGTCTGAAAGGGTCGCAGCATTAGGAAGGTCGAGAACCACTGTGTTAGAGGGAAGAATGCCTTTCTTCTGGGGACTGGATGTGAGGGCAAGCGCATGGAAAGCAAGGTCAAGGTCCCTCAAGGGAGAACCCAACACATGATGCGCTAGAGCTGTCGTCCTGGCTGGGAGAGACATTTATTGTATGAGAGGGCCCAAAAATGTATGGGGAAAACCCCATTATCTTTTCATCCTGTTTTCCCACAAAGTTTTTTGTAGGCTTCCCCCCCTATATATTATGAAGTGAAAAAATAGGTTACAGAATAACGAGCGTAGTATGAGTCAGGTGTGTGCGTGCTGTATAGCTATAGCCACAGACGTCTATGCGGTGTCCGTGTCCTATAAGACACGTGCCTGTGGGAAGACATTTGCAAGGCATGCACTACAATGCCAACAGAGAATGAGCTTCAGGAGGGAGGGCTTCTCGAGATCTATGTTTCTATGTTTGCCTTAACCGTACGTTAAAATTCTGGCCGAATTGCATTTTCTGATTTATTGTTCGCGTTCAGCTTTTATTTAATTAAGATCCTTTTTGAAAATTCCCCTCAGAGGAAAAGGCTGCTGGTCTGAGTGCTTCTCCCTTTGCTCAGGCAATCCTCTGCTACCAGCTGGCGGCTGGCCAGGGCCATGGCCTGGCGCAGTATCGCTACGCCAGGTGCCTGCTGCAAGACCTCGCCTCCTCGGAGGGCCCCGGCCGCCAGAGGGCAGTGTCCGTGCTGAAGCAGGCTGCCGACGCGGGCTTGAGGGAGGTGAGTGTCTTTGGTGGGGTCTGGCTTGGGCAGCCGGGGCATGTGGGGGTCGAGTAGACCCTAAGATGCCCCCTTTCCTTCCTTCCTTGACCACAGGCCCAAGCTTTCCTCGGGGTGCTTCTCACCAAGGAGGCATACCTGGATGAGCTGAGAGCTGTGAAATACCTCTGGCTTGCAGCCAACAGTGGGGTAGGAGGTCTCTGATAGCCCTGCCTGTTGGGGACTAAGGCTGACAAATGAAGGACTTTGGAACGAGTATTGAGTTCTCCTGCGCTTAGAAGATCCTTTGGACCCACCGGGGCATTAGGCCAGCTTCAAGCCCTGGGTCTTGCTGACTTGGCTGTGTGACCCTTGGGCGAGCCCAGTGCCAGGGCTGTCAGGAGCTTAAAATCAGCACGGTGGGAGTATTTGCACCATCGGAATTGGCACCCGCTACAAAGCAGAGCATTTCTCCCCAGGGAGCCTGTCGTTAAACACTTACTAGTGCATTGCGGGCCGATTATTCTGTAACCCAAACCTGTTTCCTCATCTCTGTCATCAGGAGAGAGAGCCGTACTGTCTCCCTTGTCTACTTTCTCAGGGAATTGTTGTGAGGATCAAAATCTCACTGCAATAATAAGTGTGAAAGTTCTCTTTGCAAATGGTATTCATTCCGAGGGGAGGCAGTAGTCTAGAGAAGGCAGACCAGCAAGGTAGGATACTCCAGTGGTTTAGGGGACAAATACCACTGTGTCCTGGGGGCGTGGCATCCAGGCAGCCTGGCCCAACATTCCACACGGCGTTTGCTCCCTGCCCTGATTATAACCATGGAGGAGCGGGAAATGTTCCCTTGGACTTGGGAAACATGGGATCACGCAGTTAGGGCTTCTGTGCCGCAGGAACTTCCCGGAGATCTGTGTCCCTGTGACTCCCCGAGAAGAGACCTCTCGCTGGTTTGCTGTGTTCCCCAAATGCGTGTGGCTCACCTGTGGTCTGAGTTGTGTATGGAAGGAGGGATTTAAAAACACCATGGGTGAATTCTGTCCTTGGCCTGTGTAGGGGCTGTCACTTCTCTTGGTGTCTGGACCCCACACCGATAGCTTCCCTGGGCGCCTGAGCATTCTGTGTTGGCCAAAGTGCAAAGCATCTCTGTTGTTGTCAGGTGCCGTCCAGTCAGCTGAGCCCCAGAGTGACCGCACACACAACAGAAGCAGACTGCGCCCCCGGCCTCAAGGTCACTGCTGTGCTTGAACCCGTTGTGGTAGCCACTGTCTTTATAGCTGTGTCCTGAGAGGAGTGAGCAGGAGTGAGCCTTGGGGCCTTACGTATGCCCCGTTCTGTTTTCTGGCCCAGTCTAGAGCCACGAGCTCACCCTAGCTCTTGGCCAGCCTATGCCCTGACTTACAGAAACGGGGTCAGAACTTCCTAGAAATTGGGTTATGGAGAGTAGCGTAGAGATGCGTCCAAGGCGGGGAGGCAACAGAGGTTTCTGTTGGTTTGTCCTTTTTCAGTTGAGAGACTGAGTTTGGCGAAGCTGTTCCAGTAGAGAGGGAGAGACTGATAATGCCAGCGACTGAGGGGGAACAAAGAATGGACTATGTGCTCTGCAACCAGGGCTCGGGCAGAGGACAATTGAGAGGAGGGTGCTATGGGTCAGAGCCGACTCCATGGCGCCTACCACCACTACCAGGTGCTAATCTGCTAACACAGTTAATCCTCACAACAACTCCGTGAGCTAGGTGCTGTGAGATGAGGAAACTGAGGCACAGAGATGGAGGTGACATGGCTGAGGTTACATAGCTGGTAAGTGGTTCAGCCAAGATCGGAGCCCAGGCACGCTTGCTGCACCGATGAGCACCCCACACCTACCTGACTCTGCTCCTGACAGTCTCAGTGAGGGCGGGAGCGGCGGGGCGGGGGTGAGGTGTTAGCCTTTCAAGGGAGTAGAAACACGTTTCTTGTCATTGATTCCTCTTGGCCCGCCACACGGAGATTCAGGAAGGCAAATAGGCCTCTTGGGACACGTGCCATCCACCGTGGCCTCCTTGCTCTTTCCGGATAGGGTAGGAGCCTGACTCCCAGGTTTTCCCCGGCTGGGCTGAGTACTTCCTGCAGCCTTTATTGTGCTGGGTTTCAGCACTGCCTTCGTGTGAGAGGCTAGCCGCACCACGCCTCCAGCTGGACTCTCCCTGGAGGGGTGTGTGTGTAGGAGGGGGGCACTGTACCCTTTGGGTTGGGGGTGCTGGGCTCTGGATTTCCCTAGATTGGGCCCTTCAGTGTGGGGTGGGCACAGTTTTCCTCTTGCCTTCGCATTACAGTTCCTCAGTCCTGCAGCCGTGTGTCTGTCTGTTTTCTCCATAGGACCCACAGAGCAGATACCACTTAGGAATTTGCTACGAGAAGGGCGTTGGAGTGCAGAGGAATCTGGGAGAGGCCGTGAGGTGCTACCAGCAGGCGGCAGCGCTGGGGAACAAGCCCGCCCAGGAGAGGCTGCGGACCCTCTTCTCAACAGAGGCATCTGGTACAGAGCCACGTCAGAGCCAGGCACCGGGTAACAGAAGAGGGCGGCAGTGGTCACTGGCCTCAATTCACTTCCTCATAGTGGTTAAGAACATGGCTTTTGGAGTGAAGGCAGGCCCGAGTTTTAGCCCTCGCCCCGTCACTGGGCTCTAGCCTGCTTCTTCACCTCTCACACCGAGAGTCCGGGTGAACAGAACTCAGTGGGTGGCTGAAAGACTAAGGGAACCTGTCCGTCACCAGGAGGTGCTAAGTAACCAAGAGCTGCTCTGACAAGGGTGTCCTGAGGCCGCCATGCCCGGAATTGCCCTTTTAGGGCTCGGAGCTCCCTGCGGAGGCATGACTGACTCCCTGGGGTGGGCTGGGTGCACAATGCCAGGGGAACCAAGTCCGTTCAGAAGCCCTTGCTCCAAGCTAGGAGTCCAAGAGTCCAGCATGAATAAGAGTTGCTTTCACTTCTTGCAGCCCTTGGGCCCAGCGAGCTGGCCGTGGCAGGACTGAAGTCCTTCTCCAGCCCCTCCCTCTGCAGTCTGAACACCTTGCTGGCAGGAGCCTCACACCTCCCCCATGCCCGGAGCACCGGGAACCTTGGGCTCCTCTGCAGAAGTGGGCGCCTGGGACCCAGCCCCGGCGCCAGGAGCACTGGTGACCCACTGCACTCGCAGTCCTTGGAAAGGGGTCTAGTCGGACTGGGTTTGGGCTAAGGTGAGACAGAACACCGCCCTCGGTTCTTCTGGGGGCCGGGGGGTCACGAGGTTGGATGACAACGAAAACAGGGTGTCCAGGATCCCTTTCCACCATAGTAATTCCAGTGGCAGCCTAGGGTCCCACACCCGGTTGGTAGCCTCACAACTGAGCAGGGGATGCATTCACAGGCCGCTCTGGCCTGTTCACAGAAAGGGCCCATTCAGTAGCCGATGAGCAATTTTGAAGGGCCTTGTGTGTGTCTTTGAGCACATGATTTGCCTTCTCTGTTCCCCTGCCTCAGCTTCCTCAGGCTTAGATTAATCCCCAGCTGGGTTTATGAGAGGATTTTATTTTTTGTTGTTATATATGAGAGCACTTCAAAAAGTTCATGGAAAAATCCCTTTATTTTTCAATTCCCTTTTTCCACAGACTTAAATTTTGTTCACTCTTTATCGTGAATTGGGTGATGGTTAACAGTAGATCATCAGTTTTCTATTCAACTAATCCTACACATTTTGTGTTATCATGTCCACAGTGGGCTTTCTTATCTGGGCCAAGACCATGGAACAGTGGGACAAACCAACAGGTGGGCAGGCTCCCTGGCCCCTGGAGGCAAAGGCCAAGGGACCACGTAACTGAGAGGCTGAGGACCATTGGCTGTATCCTTAATAAGCTTAGTCCCTTTTATGATTTTGAGTTTTGCCCCACCCATTTTCACCCCTCTATCTAGGACCTTGTAATATGATCCTTTTCAGAGCAGTTGGTTGCAATAGCTGGGCACCATCTAGTTTTTCTGCTCTCCGGGTCAAGGAGACTGATATTCACATTCCCACAAACTTTTTTTTTTTAATTTATAGAAACTCATTTATTAAATATCAAATAGGACAAAGACAAATCATGCAGATGAGAGGGACTATTAGCACAAGGTCATAACATTGTCCAAGGATTCACAGTCATGTGGCTACTTACATAGGAGACAGAGAACAAGGAAACTGTCACAGAATCATGATTGCCAGCCGATCAACTCGTCACAGTTGCAGGCAGGAAGGGACCATGATGGAGATACATACACTTGTCAGATTACAAAAGCTTCCAAGATTGGTCAGGCCCCTGTGACCAAGATACCTTGGCTAAAGTCTGAGTCATGACCGTGTAATCCTATTGTTGTTGTTGTTAGTTGCCGCTGGGTTGGTTTCAGCTCATAGTGACCCTCTGTACAGCAGAATGACACACTGCCCAGTCTTGCACCACCCTCACAATTGTTGTTATACTTGAGCTCATTGCTGTAGCCACTGTGTCAATGCATGCTGTCAAGGGTCTTCCTCTTTTTTGCTGCCCCTCTAGTTTACCAAGCATGGTGGCTTTTTTCAGGGACAGGTCTCCCCTGTCCAAAGTATGAAAGGTGAAGCCTTGCCATCCTGGCTTCTAAGGAACATTCTGGCTGTACTTCTTCCAAGACAGATTTGCTTGTTCTTCTGCAAATCCACAGTACTTTTCACAGTATTCTTCATCAGCACCATAGTCCAAAAGCATCAATTTTTCTTTGGTCTCGTTTATTCACTGTCCAATTTCCATGCATATGAAGTGATTGAAAATACCATGTCTTGGGTCAGGCGCAACTTAATCCTCAAAGTAACCTTCTTGCTTCTCAAAACTTGAAGTCCCGTGCAACAGATGTGCCCAATGAAAGACGTAGCTTAATCTCCTGTCACTACTTCCATGAGCATTGATTGTCGATCAGTCCCCGACAACTTCCACCTCTTCTCTGTTTATGATGATGTTGTCTATTGGTCCTGTTGTGAGGATTTGGGTTTTCTTCACAATGAGTTGTCATCTGTACGGAAGGCTGAAGTCCTTGAACTCCATCAGCAAGTGCTTCAGGTCCTCCTTCCTTTCAACAACCAAGGTTGTGTCATTTGATTATCACAAGTTTTTAACAAACCTTGGTCCAATCTGGACACCAATACTTGTCCGTCATTTTGGCATAGTGTGGTGGCTTGTGTGTGGCTGTGATGCTGAAAGCTATGTAACCAATATTTCACATACTATCAGGGTCACCCAAGGTGAGCAGGCTTCAGTTGGGGCTTCCAGTGCAGCCATGCAGTGATGCCAAATGCAGGAAGATCACAGGCCAGTGGGTGGAAAGTCTTGTGGATCCAGTGGTGGTGGAATCATCTCAGTGCTGGCAGCGGTCTCCATATGTCTCCTCCAGCTCCAGGGCTCTGGCTCCATCAGTATAGCTCCATGTGGCTCTGCCATGGCGTCAGGAACTAGGTCCAAGCCTCCCATAAACTTTTTGAGGCCTCTTTGTATTTATTATATAGTATTTAATATATAATGTAAAATGATGACCAGCATTTTGGTCTGTAGTTTCTGTACCAGAGAACAATAGAGCTGGACATATTTGACCTCTTCTGGCCTCCTCATTGCCATAAGGTGGGGTCCAGGCCTGCCATTCAGCTCCATCCTTCTGCACCGTGCCTCCCGAGGCCCTCTGCATCTATGGCTACACAGAACTTACAGCCAGTACTCTCAACTAAGGGGGTGTCTTAGGGAAGTTCATAAGTTACTACCCGTCGGGAGCAGTAAACAGTAAGGATACAGTCACTGGTCTCCTCGGCCAGCATCTGTCTCTCTTTAGTTCTCAGCCTCTCAGCAGTTACATGGTCCCTTGGCCTTTGCCTCGCAGGGGCCAGGAACAGCCCCCCCCCCCCCAGTCACTCTGTCCCACAGTTCCATAGACTCGGGCCAGATAAGGAGAAGGTACCCCATAGTTTCAGCGCTGTTCCTCGTAGTCTCTGCTGCAGTCTGTGATGTGTCTGGTCGGCGGCCTCCGCCCCACAGACAGATCTTGACCGTGCTCTTCCAAGGCCCTTGGGGTTTCTCTTTTCTGCTTGTTCGGAGATGGCTCCTGCTTGTAGCCAGGGAGGTGGTAACACACTACCAGTCCCCACCGTCAGTGTCGCACACGCCCTGTCCCCATAGTCCCACCCAGTCATCTGGTGGGAGTTAACAGAGACTGGGGTGGAAGAGCCCCATTAAGAAACTTCACTCCACCACAGTCTCATCGATGTTATGCCTGGGACGAGGCTAACTTAAAAAGAAGTGAACCAACTTAAAGGAAGCCATTCCGTGAGGGCGCATGGACGCACAGCGTGGCAGGAGTCACGAGGGTGGGCCCACGAGCAGCCGACATCTAGGAACCTCCCAGTCGTTCATCCCCGAGGCTGAGCCTAACATTTGCCTCTGTTTTCCCACAGTGGGTTCATGCCCCTCTTCCCTTCCCTGTTGGAATGGAAGGAAGGAGCTACCGAAATACCTGGATGTGCCTACGTGGGTGTTTCGGACCTTCACCCTTGGAGCTTGAAGCTGGAACCTGAGGTGCTCAGAGAGTTGGCACCCATTTGGGGTCCCACAGAAACGGCCAGTTTTCCACCCCCCTCCCCAAAGAGCCTTGAGTTCCTGCCACAGCACAGTGAGGAGAGGAAAGCGTGTGCAGAGCCAGGCTCCAGTCCTGGCCCAGCCCCTTGCCTGCCGCGCCCGCCCCTCGACGCACCAACCCGACTCACTGCACTCTTGCCCCAGCTGTAGACCAGGAGCAGTGGAGTGTGCCCTCCTGCCTTACAGAGCCGATGGCGACTGAGGTTGAACATGACTGTCACAGCAGTTCCCTACAGAGAGGGCCTTGTCTGGTGCTCTCTCAGGCCTGGGGAGGCAGGCCGGGGCAACACAGCTCTCTGAGCCACCAGGCTGGGAGGAGGACCCTGCGTCCTGAGTCCTGGATGGCCTTGAGATGGATCTACCACCGTGAGCTGGGGCTCCTGGCTCCTTGGGGCGGGAGAGGCAGTTCTGAGGCCCTCTTTTGGGAAGGGCGTGTTTAATAAAATTGCTATCGGATTATCTTGCCCCATGGCCCTTGAGTGTGCTGCGGAGAGCCTGGGCGATGGGCAGGGAGCTGGAAGCCGAGGCGCCCTCCTCATCTCTGGACTCGCCACTAACCAATTTAAAGGGTCTTAAGAGCTTTTCCAAGAGAGAGACTTAGGGGAGAAAAAAAGATTTCTAAGTCAACACTAATGACTCCAATTACTGAATTTGCAAAATAGCTGTTCCCTGGGTTCTGGATAGTAGCCCGAGTTCAATAGCATAAATGTGGTTGAGGTGGGGTGGGGGCGGGGAGGACTAAGGGCCAAACTCACTGGTGACTATTTAAATGGGAGGGGCCACGCAGCTCAAACGTGGGAGGATTTGCAGCGGGGAGAGGCAGGGGAAGTTATTCACATTACCCCCACCCCTCCGTCACCACTAGTGGTCCAGGCCTTGTTGTTACTGCTGGTGGCATCTTGAGTCTGGCCCCAGCAGCCCCGGTGCACTACGGTCACCCCCACTGGGCCCTCACATGCTTGGCTCCTTGGTTGCAGAGAACCCACCTCCTTGATGTCTCAGGCTCCTCAGCACTTAGCCCAGGGCCCCACATGGGGGCTCAGTGCCCATTGGTTCAAGCCCAGGGATTTAAAGCTGTGCAGTGCACTAATCGCTCTGCAAAACTAACTAACTAACTAAATAAAGGTTTCTGCGGTCACAGAAGTTTGGGAAATGCAGCACTGGACATTCCCTTTTTACAGATTCACCACGCTGCACAGCCAAGAAGTCCTACAGGAAGAACTCAGTTAACCTAGTGTCTCCTGTGCCAAGCCAAGCCGACATGATGTCCTGGAAGGTTGTTTAGGAAGGTGGGGAGGCTTTGTGTGGCCCTTGCCAGGGAGCCTCTCACACGGCCTCTTGTGCCCTCTGAATGCAGCTTCCTCCAAACCTTGCCTGGGCTCGGGCAGTCAGACAGTCCTGCCGGGCTGAGCCACTTGCAGGAGCGGCCGGCCAGGCACGGCTCTCTGTTGCAAGTTAACCAGCGATTCGATTTGAGGCGCACAAGTGGGAGTGGGATATTTTTAAACTCTCAGGTTTAAAAAGGAAGGCCCTCGCTGGGTGGAGAGGGAAGGATGGGAGAGTCATGAGAGAGGTTGTCAAGGGACCAGAAATCTTTGGCTCTTCCGTCACTGCGGTCTTGATACAGCCCCAGGGGACCGACCTCACTGGCAGACCGGGAACTGCAGTGCTTTTGCTATTAAAACTCTGTTATTAATGACTCCTCGTCAGCGCCTGAGAGGAAATGCGAAGGAAGGGCAGGGAGGCGACTCCCTATCAGCAGGTCCAGCCGAGTCAGGATGCTGGGTGACCCCAAGGTCCAGGGCCTGAGCCCCTGAGCAATGAGACCTTGTCCATGCTCCTGCTGCTGCCTTCCTACCAGGGAGCCTTGATACCAGGGCAGGAGGGTGAGGGTGGTGGGGCAGGGGGGGACAAGGCTGTTTGGTTCATGATATCTTCTGTGCTAATGAGGTACCAGGCACTTAGTAGGTGGTCAGTAAGTACTTATTCTGTGAATGAGTCAATGCATCTTCTCATCTCTCCACCCAGTACCTGACCACCAGGTCTGCCTAGCATACGGGACGTGCTTTAAATCTGTTGAATGAATGAATGCACGCATGATTTTGTTTACTCACTGCTGCTCCTGGTGCCACTTTTGGGACCTAATAACGTTTCATTAAATGCAAACCATTTGTTGAATGAGTGTTGCTGATCATGCCATACACACACACACACCACCTATTACACCATACCTGATATTTAATAGGGGCAGAGAGAATGCCAACGTCTTTGCTTGGGGCACACCATGTGCCAGGCTGGCCTGTGCTAAGCCTTCCTTCCCCACCCGACCCCAGCCTACCCGGCCATCTTCTTTTGGGATCTGGTTCTCCCCAGTCCCTAGGGTGCTGGTTGCCATTTCTCTCGCGCTTCAGCCAGAGAAGGAGGGTCAGTGAGCTGCCAAGTTGCAGTTGGGTGACAGGCTTGAAGGCTGCCTGTCAATCTCCCAGCTGCCCCCAGGCTCTGAGTGAGCTCCGCATTGCACTCCTGGCGCTGGGAAACGGCTGACTATTGATAAAAAATGTCCCTCTGTGCTTTCCAAATTAAGACGACATTTAACTGAGTGCTCACTGGCTCGCCTGCTCCCTCAGCTTCCCAGGGGACAGAGTCCAACTTGGTGGGAAGGGAACTGTTTTGAGCCCATCCAAAGACAGCTTTGACATCTTGGCTGAGGTCAAGAAGTTTCTATAACTTTTCCTGCTCAGCACTCTGGCTTCTGTTACTGCATGAACTGCTTCCTTCTC